GGCATCAATTCTCCTTCTATCCTCCCTAGTCATTGCCCAACTCTCTGATGCATAACAAGTGATTGCAAAGGCCATAGCCTGTATGTAAAGTGCCATATAGCTTTTGATAATACTCCAGTAATATAGATTTAATTTCCTCTGGTTATAATGTCACCTCTATTATTCCTTAATTGAGTTGTGTCTTTATTTTGTTTTGTTAAGTTTGCCAATGGTTTGTCAGGGTTTTGCTTTTGTTTTTGTTTGTTTGTTTTTGTTTTTGTTTTTTTGCTGTGCATTCAATTTTATTCGTGTTCAAGTGAGGCATGGTATTAAGGTTTGACTGCCATGGGGTCTTCGATCCACTTCGTGTAGAAGTAGACATTGGTGAAAACAGCTGGCATATATTTGGCAGCACATGGGTTGGAACCCCATGCTATGATACGTTGGAGCATGCCGTCACAGAGCTGAGTCACCTGCACAGGTGTCTTTGCCTGGTGAAGCCTTAGCACATAGCATGGTGTCTGCTATCTCCTGGGTGTGAGCCTCAGTGCACACCTCATTGGGTTGGACTTGGAGGTTCCAAGACTGCAGTCCATTTGGGTATGTTATCCCATTTGGGTCCAGGCTGCCTCAGACTGAGGCGATGCAGGTGCTTCCCACCACAGGTGGCTTGGTGGGCAGTACCAGGACCTACACTGTTTCTGTGAGCTGCACAGCCTCCTTCAGGAAGGGCATCATGATGTCATTGCTGTAGTCATCCTGGTCCAGGTTGAAAGGATTCTTCATGTGGCTGGCATTGTACCATGGGTGCTGAATGTCAAGGCTGACCTAGGCATACTAGGTTGTGTCATCAGGTTCATCTAGGTTGTTGAGGCCCAGCCAGATCTGGTACAGGCTGGAGACAGAGATGAAGGCAATGAAGGAGACAGAGGAGGAAGGTGGAAGCAGGACAGGAAGTATGGGGTAGGGAAGAGAGAAACAGGGGTGTGGAGGAGCGAGTGGACAAAGAAAGAGGAGAAGCAGTGACAGAGAAAGCGAGAGGACAGATATGTAAAGAAAGAAATGGAGAGAAAAAGAGGGTAAGAGGCAAGGCAGAAAGGGGAAAGAAGAGTGTGAGACATGACCAGTGAACAGACGTGGTCAGAAATGTATGCAGAAAGCATAAGGAAAACAGAAAACAGAAGGGGAGGACTACAACAGAATGGGAAAGGGGCAGATAAAGTAAAAAGAAACCAAGAAATAGAGACAGAGAGGATGGGAAATGGTGAGGGAAGGAGAAAGTCAGGGAGGCAGGCTGGTTTTATTGACCCTTAACAACAACAACAACAACAACTTTCAAAAAATCTGCTCCTGGTCTTGTTAATGGTTTCAATTGCTTTTCTGTTTCCTACCTCATTGATTTCAGCTCTTGTTCCTATAATTTCCTTTTTTTTTCCTAGAGTATATAGGGTTAGATTGTTGTTCTTTTTCTATTTGATGGAGGTATTGAGTTAGATCATTTATTTTACCTCTTTCTTCCTTTCTTATATGTTTGTCCATTCCTATGAACTGCCCCTTGAGGGCTGCTTTAGGTGCATCTCTGAACCGGAGGTTTAAATATGTTGTATTTTCATTATCATTTTTTAGAGGAATTTTTTCATTTTATCTTTTATTTCTTCTATAACCCAATTGTATTCAACCAGGGTGGTATTTAACTTCTATATGGGTGGTTTTAGAAGCTTTATTCTCTGTCATTAATTTCTAGTCTTATGGCACTGTTGTCTGAGAAGAGATTTTGTATGATTTCAATGTTTTATCCTAATATGTGATTAATTCTGGAGAACATATCACATATACTTTAGAATAAAGTAAATTGAACTTAGTTGGGTGTAATACCTGGAATACATCCTCAAGGTTGAGCTGGCTGATTGTATAGTTTAGATTTTCTGCATCATCTCCTTTGACTATTATGGTGCTATTTTTTTTTTTCCTTATTGAATTCTGTTAAACATTGTTTTATGTATTTTGCAGGCCAGTCATTTGGTACAAAGATGTTTGACTAAGATTATGTCTTCTTGATCTACTGTACCTTTAATCATTATATCTATTGTGCCCTTCCTTATCTTTTATGGGGTTTTCATCCTGAAGTCTATTTAATCAGAGATTAGTATTGCCACTCCTGATTTTTTGTGGATGCCATTTTCTTAGAATATTTTTTTCCCAGCCTTTCATTTTGAGTCTATCTCTCTACTCTTTCTTAGATGTCTCTCTTGTAGTCAATTTTGTTTTTAATTCACTCTGCTACATTTTGTCTCTTAATTGGTATATTTAGTCCATTTATGTTAAATGTGATTATTGATAGGACAGGCTTTATTTCTGCCATTTTGCTGTGTTTCTTTTTCTGTTTCAGGTTACCATGTACATCCAATTTCCTTTGGTGTTTCTGTGTGAAGAACTTCCTTTAAAAGTTCTCGTAGATTTGGTGTTGTTTTTAAAAAATTCCTTAAGTTCTTTCTTTCTGTAAAGGACTTACTTTCTTCTTTATATTTGATGGACAGCTTTACTAGGTAGAGGATCCTTTGTTGGCAATTATTTTCTTTTAACTTTCTTAATTTGGCATCCCCTTGTTTTCTTGCTTTCATGATTTCTGCTGAGAAATCAGAACTTAATCTATTGACTTTGTTTTTCTCATGCTATTTTTAGTATTCTATTCTTATCTTTTATTTGAAGAATTTCACTATGTGTTGGTGTTTTCCTTTTTGGGTCTAGTCTATTTAGTGTTCACTGAGTTTCTTGAATATGGACCTCTCCAAAGTACTCAAGAGCAACGATGTGTCTTTGGAGACTAAGGCCATGGTCTTTGCAATCACTTGTTATGCATCAGAGAGCTGGACAATGACCAGGGAGGATAGAAGGAGAATTGATGCTTTTGAGCTTTGGTGTTGGAGAAGAGTGCTGAGAGTGCCATGGACTTCTCCAAAAACAAACAGATTCATCCTGGAGAGGGTTAAACCGGGCTGCTCCTTGGAGGCAAGGTTTCTGAGGCTTCGTCTGACATACTTTGGTCATGTTGTAAGGAGGGATCGGTCCTTGGAGAGGGACATCATGCTTGGGAGGGTGGAGGGCAGGCGCAGTAGGGGAAGGTCCTCTGGGAGATGGATTGATTCGATGACTAGAACAATCGGGATGAGCGTGTCAGAGACAATGAGATTGGTACAGGACAGAGCAGAGTTTAGAGCTGTTATACATAGGGTCGCTATGAGTTGCAAGCAACTTGAAGGCACATAACAACAACAACAACATCTCTTCCGTAATTTTCTCAGTGATTTCCCTGTCACTCCCATATTTTGGAATTCCAATCACACATGCTGTTCCTTTTGATGTCATCCCACATGATTCTAATGTTTTCTTCATTTTCTTTATGTCTTATCTCTGATTTTTCTTCTAGTTTCTTTCCATTGAAGTTCTTGTCTTCTAGCTTCTGCTCCATTTCTTCTTTTCTGCCTTTTTGTCCCTCTAGTGTGTTGAACACTTCTGTCATTTAAGTTTTAATATTCTAGATTGCAATTTCATGCATTTCTGCCATTTTCAGCACTATGTTGGTGGTACTCTCTCTGTATTGTACCTCTTTATCTATAATTTTAATTCTTTCTTCCATTTTTTGCATTTCCCCCCATAGTTATTAAGTTCCTCCTCATTGATATATTTCTTCTGGTTCCCTGTCTTTGGAGTATTCATTTTCTTAATGGCTTCCATTGTTTTTCCCTCCTGTCATTTACATCTTCTTCTGTAGCTGTTTAAATGACACCCCATCAATATATTTTTTTCTGGTTCTATGCCCCTAGGTTATTCCCTTTATTTCTGGATTCTATAATTTCTTCCATCACTTGTACCTTTTCCCATCACTGTTCAAATGCTTCCATATCAATGTATATCTTCTGTCTTCCTGACTTTGGAGTGCTTCATAGAGTCTACAATATGCTCTGCATTTTTTGGAGAAGGCTCACTTTGTTTATTCACAGTGTTTGACACTGCCTGTGCTTTCTTGACATTATGCGAAGTTTTTCTTGGTAAGTGTTAGACTGTTTCTATTGTGTCTTTGTAAGTTGTTGATAATTATTATCTTTATGATGTTATTTATTAGTTGCCAGTTTAAAATGTTCAATCTATGTGGTGGGCCACTCATTTGGGAGTCCTTTCTGGGAAAACTTGCCTTTCCTAAACTTCTTCAGGTTCTCTCTGGTCTGCAGTGCAGCCCTGCAGGAATCTCACTTTACTGTAGTCTCCTCTGCCAAACTTTATTGTCCTTTTTTTGTCTGAGGAGTGGCTGTGTGTTGCAAGACCAGGTACTCCTTTTAAGCAATTTCTGTCCAGGGAGATTTCTCTTTCTTGCAGCTCAGCATGCCACCTGAGAAAGTGACTCCTTCCCCTGCTTGTAGCTCTCTGTCTCAAACTTTATTGTCCCGTTTGGACTCTGGGATGACCCTGTAGTAGCAGGGATCTCCAAAATAAAAGTGAATTTTTAAAATCAAGACAGCTGTGACAAAAAGCACTGCAGTGTAGATCGTTTCTGACTCTTTTCTGAGTAACTAGGAATAACTTTATTTCCATTTATTCTCATTATTGTAATTTTCATCATCATAGATGTACATTTTTTAAAAGAATTGTGATACTAATACACAATATTTATCAAACATTCTTACATGTATCATTCAGTAACACCAAGTATATTCTTCAGGTTGTACAACCACAATCAACTCCCATTTTTTATTTTCCCCCCCAGCTGGTAACCATTAATATTAAGTTACTACATATTGTCTCCTCCATTTGTCTGTCAGTTTGCTACATGGCAGTGGTGTGTGAGTTGCTGTGCTGTTGGACACAAGACTAGCAAGATCACATATGGTACACATGTTTCAGCAGAGCTTCTAGGCTAAAATAAATTTGTAATTGTTTTTGTTTTTTTGGTTCTTTTTTCTTTTCATATCTTCCCAAATAAAGCAGATTACCACTTCCTTGTCCCTAACTCCTCAAGTACTCACTGTGAAGTGTTGAGTCGGCTCCTGAGGGGGATATCTGGTCAATTTCACTGGGTGTCCATGAAATTGCTAAAGGAAGAAGACATTACAAGAGTCATTCTATCGCATCAACAAATGAATGGATAGAAAAAAGATGGTATTTTGACATAATGGAATACTACGCAGCACTGAAAAACAAGGAACTGCTGAAATATTACACAACATGGATGACCCCGGAGGACATTATGTTGAGTGAAATATCTCAGTCACAAAAGGACAACAATGCATAACACCACTGTTATAAAGCAGGACTGACATAAGGGTTGGGGGAAAACTAAGACAAGGGGATAATTAATGAACACAGCATTGGAACAGACGAAGGGAAAAAACTGTTTAAAAAGAATATATGATCAAGCATTATTTGTATGACCACAGTCCAGAATAAAAGGTGTATCACAAAGTGGGCTGCAGAAGGTGAAGGGGAAGAGGGAGGAAATTATGTAACAATGAATGAAATTTTTTTTAAGTGAATAAGACAGGGGATAGGAAGGAAAATGCGCAACAATGAAAAATTAAAAATCCAACTTTTCTGTAAACTTTTGTTAAAATCACAATTTTTTTTAAAAGGGGGGAAGAGTCATTTTTTGTAAAGCTAGTTATTTTATTTTCCTTTCACTGGGTGAAGTAATTATGAAAAAAGAATGTTCATTAACATGTAAAGCATATTACATAAGCTGATCACTGATCTATAGCATATGCTACACCTGCCCAGAATAAGGCAGGAGTTGAGGGGAACATGTCTCTAAGTGACTTAGAAGTGGAAAGTGGGAAGAGAAGGAAAACATAAAGAGGTCCCTTTAGCCTGAGAGGGTGTTCTGAGGCCCTTCTATAGATGAGTCATGTTGTAGATTAGTCAAAAAGAAGAGAAAGAATGATAGTTTGGAGACAGATCTCAGAGGAAAATAGGAGATTATAGATGATCTCATGACTATCTTATAGATGAGCCAAAAAAATGGGAGTGAACTATGCATACAGTCCAGGGGTTTGTGATGGTCAAACAGAGGAGCCCAAAGGATTTACAGAGTTAGGTGTAATATGTGTAGGGGGAAAGAGTTTGTGGATAAACTGACATTGTAGTTTGGCTATGAAAATCAGAAGGCTCAGTATTAAGTAGTAAGTTACTAGACCCTGATGATCAGAGGCTTTATTAGCTGCAAGGTGAGCACTTTTGAGGCCATTTGAGGCAAATCTTTTCCTGTTTGGATGGTAGTGAACTCAGCAAATCTTTGCCCTGTTTGGATGGCAGTGAACCCAAGCAGCACATATGGTGTTTGAAATAGATCTGTCAACTCATATGTTTACTATCTATCTTTGCCAAGAAAGAGTCACATCTTGGCAGGCCTCACATTTCTGTATTTGATAATGGGCTTGCATTGTAAAGTGAAGTAAAAGGACTGTAACAATTCATGGTTATGATCAATAAAATTCATTCACTAGAAAAATTAGCTTACTTGCTTTTTTTTAGTTAAGGGATTTGTGTGTGTGTGTGTGTGTGTGTGTGTGTGTGTGTGTTAAGACTAAAACAAACAAATAAAAACAAGACCAAAAAAACCCCAGAAAATAAACCCCAAACACCTTTATATTATTTTTATGTACCATGGAGTCAGAATTTAAACATAGCTGACTGTCCAGCAGATATTTAAAGGCAGTAAATTACATGGGAGCAGAATCTTTCTCCAGCAGAATAAATGACGGATTCAAACCATGTGTCTTTGGATTGACAGCAAAACTCCTTGCCACTAAGCTACCAGAGGTTTCTTCAAACCTCTAAGACCTCCTATCTCTTGGTTTCTCTGTAAATAGCAATAACAATTGCAGCTGCTTACCATCAGGTAAAAACATGTACTCTCAGGGATTTCTTACAGGACTTTTTCTATCATATCATCTTCCAGTCATTATCATCCCAGAGACTAGGGTTATCTTATGGAAAGCTATTTGAGTCTGATAGTCTCAGGGAGATGTTCTTAATGTCCATAGACTTCTCTGCTCCTGTATATGTTGACTATGTTTTTCCTCTAGACAATATTTAGAAATTGACCAAAGTCTACAGATAATGATAAACTCAGTAGAGTCTTATCATTTTTGGGGGTGTGTATGTTTAAACCATTAACCAGGAGTTTAATTGACCAAGAAGATTTGTTTATTAAAATGTGATTGAAATCCAGTCTGAGTTTAAATAAAATTATGCAGAAGGCAGTTTATTCTTGGTAACATTTCAGATTTATGCTCAGTATGATGCTTTCTCTGTTATATGCCTTTAGTGCTTTATGCCTTTATTTGTCATCTAATCAAAGTCTGTTGGCAGGAAGTCATTTGGTAGGGCCTGACCCTTTAGAATTTGAGAAGAATGATGAGTTTAGGGATTCAAGATCAGTGGGGAATGAAAGAGCTGCCTGAAATAGGAGCAGGGCCCCGCACTGTTGCAGGCCCTAATATTGCTTCCCCTCTACCGTTGACTCTCAACCCTTCAACTCTTGCCTCTTCATCATCTTCTGTCTATGGCAAACACAGGAGAGTGCCATGATATTATCAAGTAAGTACACAGTGGCTGGGAAGAACTAGCTAGACCAACGAACACAATAAACAACGCATTTATACATGTGAGAAAAATGGTAGGATTTTGAAAGGTAAGCAAAGAATAAAGAATTAATCAAGACCTCTTGTAAGGTTAATAAGAAGCCCTCTGTGACTCAGCAGTGATATGTGTGTAATGTGTGGATATAGTGACAGAGAGCCTCTTCCTATTGATAATAGGACAATTTAAAGACAATAGAGGTTTATGGCAATGTAAATCATAGTTTATTTGCATAATCTAGATAGATTGGATAATTTTAATGTAGTTTTATACTTAATTAGACTAGCAGGGGAAATTAGAATGGAAAAGCTAAATTTTCTGTTCTGTAGTCTCATCAGCCAAGTATCAAAATGTTAAGTATCCCAGAATATCATGAACCTTGCACATTTTTTTAAGATTTAGGAGTTCAGATTGTGTATCCCTACTTCACAGGTGTCTAAAGTACACTGTACATTTTCATTCTAGATTGTCGGAAACTTGGAAGCTGAGATAGGATTGTTGTTGTTGTTGATTGCCATCGAGTCGAGCACACTCATAACAACCCTATGAACAAAAGGGCTGAAGCCTTTCTATAACTCCGTCATTTCTCAAAGTTCATAGTTCCAGAGGCATGTTGTTTAGGAAGTGGATGCCATGCCTGCTTCCAAGAGGTAGGATTAGATATCCAAGATACTTGAATCTGAAGTTGATAAATAAAACGAAAAATGAGAACATATAATATTAACACCTAAAACCATAAATGCAGTAGAAACATGCCACATACTTAGAATGGAAGAAGTCCTGGTGATAGGATATTGTTGTTGTTGTTGTTGTTGTTATGTGCCGTCGAGTCGCCTGCAACTCATAGTGACCCTGTGTACAAAAGCCCTAAACTCCTCTCTGTCCTGTGCCAATCACACTGTCTCTGACACTCCCATCCCAATTATCCCAGTCACTGAATCAATCCACCTCATAGAGGGCCTTCCTCTCCTGCGCCGTCCCTTCACCCTCCCAAGCATGATGTCCCTCTCTAAGGACCAGTCTCTCCTCACAACATGTCCAAAAGTAAGTTAGATGGAGCCCCAGAATCCTTGCCTCCAAGGAGCCACCTGGTTTAACCCTCTCCAGGACAAATCTGTTTGTTTTCCTAGCAGTCCATGGTATTCTCAATACTCTTCTCCAGCACCACCGCTCAAAGGCATCAACTCTCCTTCTATCCTCCTTGGTCATTGTCCAACTCTCTGATGCATAACAGGTGATTGCGAAGACCATGGCCTGTATCAGACGCACCTTAGTCTCCAGAGAGACACCACTGCTCTTCAGCACTTTGGAGAGGTCCCTAACAGCAGACTTTCCCATGGCAATGCGCCTTTTAATTTCCTGGCTGCTGGTGCCAAGACTGTTGACTATGGAGCCAAGCAAACTAAAGCTGTGTACAATCTCAATCTCTTCACCATCCATCCTGATGCTGCCAATTGGTCCATTGGTGAGAATCTTTGTCTTCTTGACATTGAGCCTCAATCCATATTGGAGGCTGCAGTCCTTGACACTCTGCAGCAGGTGCTTCAGGTCCTCCTCAGTTTCAGCAAGCAGGGTTGTGTCATCCGCATAACGCAGATTGTTGATAATTCGTCCACCAATCTTGACCCCACATTTCTCCTCATAGAGCCCAGCCTCCTGGATAATCTGTTCTGCATATAGGTTGAAAAGGTATGGAGATAGGATGCATCCCTGGTGTACGTCCTTCCCAATTTTGAACCATGCAGTGTTCCCTTGCTCTGTTCTGACGACTGCCTCCTGGTCCAAGTATAAGTTTCGCATTAGAACGATCAAGTGTTCTGGGATTCCCATTCTTCTCAGAGTCAGCCATAGTTTGTTATGATCTACACAGTCAAATGCCTTTGCATAGTCAATGAAACACAGATAGACATTCCTCTGGTATTCCCTGCTTTCAGCCAAGATCCATCTAACATCAGCTACAATATCTCTAGTACCACAACCCCTTCTGAAACCAGCCTGGACTTCTGGTAGTTCTCTGTTGATGTGATATTTAAACACATGTGGGAGAGGGTGCTCCTTGGAAGCAAGGATTTTGAGGCTTCGTCTGACATATTTTGGGTATGTAGCAAGGAGGGACTGGTTCTTGGAGAAGGACATCAAGCTTGTAAGGGTGGAGGGATGGAGAAAGAGAGGGAGACCATTGATGAGATCGATTGATACAGTGACTAAGGTGATCAGGGTTGGTGTGTCAGAGACAGTAAAGCTGGCACAGAATAGAGCAGGTTTCAGGGCTGTTGTACATAGGGTTCCTATGAGTCCCAAGTGACTTGACGGCACGTAACAAGTAACAACAAACAACATAGGTTACAGTAAATGAATTCATAGGATACAATCACGAGTAGCACAGGGCTACTGAGTTTATTTCACCAGGAATCTATTCATTATCATGAGTTCCCTGCCTATGAATATGTCATAA